TATTCCTTGCATTGCAGATTTTAACGTTCTTGTTGTTGGTTGCATTGCGATGTCTCTAAGCAGGCTATCAACTTTCCGTCTTCAATCCTTGATAAACTGCTCTGTTGTTCTCTTCATGTTCTTCAATTTTTTCCAACCCTTTGTTCATCCACTTTCCTTCAGCATCAAAGACTTTGGTCGAGATGCAAACAAGATACTTTATGAAGGTGATGCCGCGCCTTCTTCAGGAGTGATTGAACTCAGCACGATCACAGCCACAGATTTACAGGATATATATTGCCGCACTGGCCGGGCTACGTATGCAGAACCTTTGCACTTATGGGACTCTGCTAAACTGGCAGACTTCACTACTAATTTCTCTTTCATTATCGACACTGTTCATAATGATACCAACATTGGTGATGGACTTGTGTTTTTCCTTGCCCCTGTTCACTATCCAATTCCACCAAACTCTGCTGGTGGTGATCTAGGATTATTAAACACCACCACTCGTTTTGGCAAAGCATCCCAAAACCAAATTGTAATGGTTGAGTTTGACACTTCGCCAAACTCATGGGATCCACTCTTGCCACACGTTGGGATCAATATCAATACCATATCCTCAGTTGTTAATGCCCGTTGGGATGCTCTCGGCAACTGTGGGAAGAAGGCTCACGTACAGATAACTTACAGTGCTACCACCAAGAACCTCACTGTGTTTTGGACATATGAGGAATATACTGATGTAGCCATCACTTCGCTTTCTTACAATATTGACCTGAGAAAGGTTCTCCCAGAGTGGGTTACAATTGGATTTTCAACTGCCAATGGCTGTGCCCGAGAGCGGAATGCTATATATACATGGGATTTCGGATCAAACTCAAAGGAGTTAAGTACCAAAAAGGAGAGGAGGTTATTCTCGATTGTGGCCGTTGAAGTTTCTGTCTTCATTTTGATTGTTGGTGTAGCCATATGCTGGTTGGTGGTAAAGAGGCAGATAAACAGGATTGATGAACATGGAAATGACTCCAATTCAGTAGCCTCCACAGATCTTGTGTGGCAAGCCTTGCCAAGACGATTTTCTTACAAAGAATTAGTTGCAGCCACCAATGACTTTGCAAACGACAGAAGGCTAGGCCAAGGAGGGTCAGGGAAAGTTTATAAAGGAATCATACAAGATCTAGGCTGCACAGTTGCTGTGAAGAGAATCGTCCCAGAATCCGAGCACTATGAGAAAGTCTTCATCAACGAAGTGAAAATAATAAGCCGCTTAATACACAGGAACCTGGTGCAATTCATTGGATGGTGTCATGAGCAAGGCGAGTGCTTACTTGTTTATGCATACATGCCTAACAGCAGCCTTGACACGCATCTATTCGGCTCTAGAACAACCTTGCAATGGGATTTGAGGTACAAGATAGCTTTAGACTTGGCCACAGCCGTTCATTACCTACATGAAGATGCAGAGACGTGTGTCCTGCATAGGGATATCAAATCAGCTAACGTATTGTTGGACTACGATTTCAAGACTAAGCTTGGTGATTTTGGGATTGCTAAGCTCGTGGATCCGCGGTTCAGGACTCAGACAACAGGAGTGGTAGGGACTTTTGGTTACATAGCCCCGGAATATGCAAATGGAGGTAGGGCTAGTAAAGAGTCAGACATGTATAGTTTTGGAGTTGTGGCCTTGGAACTTGCATGTGGAAGGAGGACTTATCAGTATGAAGAATATCACGTGCCGCTTTTCAGGTGGGTTTGGCAGCTGTACCTTGCCGGAAATCTGCTCTCTGCAGCTGATGAGAGATTGGATATGAATTTTGTTCCAAATGAAATGGAATGCTTGTTAATTGTGGGATTATGGTGTACTCATCCCGACAACAAGGAAAGACCAAAAGCAGGGCAAGTGATGAGGGTTCTTCAGCTTGAAGCACCATTGCCTCAACTTCCAAAAGATTTGCATGATCATCCGCCACCTCAACCTCAACAAGAAGCTGGTTCCTCTCAGCAATCATTAACTTCTAGTTTCGAAACTGTGGGTCGTTAAAGTAGTACACCAAACAACTTCGAGGGCAAATAGATGGAGTTAAATGTAGGGATGTTCATTTCAGTATTAATTCTTCTTATTTAGGAAGGGGGGAAATATGTGTGTGGGTGAGGGTGTTATCTGGATTTGGTGGACATCAGTTTACACCACTTGTAACATTTTCTATTCTAAAATTTTGTGTATCTTTCTTAACTGATTGCTTGACCCGCTAGATGATATGCATGATCACTGCATTCCCCGACAGACAAAAACTGATTAGTTCAAACAATTTGTCATGATGAAGCAAATCACTCCAGCTTGCAGCTAAAAGTCAATGTAGAAATTTGGCTTAGGGTTTTGAACTTTGAACAGCATTTCCCTTATTCAAAATTGGTCATACCATGAATTCAGTTTCTTAAAACAAAAATGAAAAAATAAATAAAAGAATGTTAAGAGGATGTGAAGGAATGCCACTGACATTAACAGGAGAAGGACTTCTATGTAACGAGGATAAAACTATTTTGCTATCTTCTACCAATAACACCATGACACATGTGACAACACTAACACATGACAGAGCATTATTTGTCAGGGATAACAAAACAGTACTATTCCCGTTGCAACTAAGTTTTTCTTCATTAACAGAGTCTCACTTATGCTTTGCGCTTTGGAATATTTTAAAGCGCTCCATCTGTACCGTCGTTTATTCGAGAAAGGCTCAGCCGTACAAAGGTCCTCATTGTTCTTGATGATGTGAATGATTCAAGCCAGACAGAATATCTAGCATGTGGTGGTCATCTTAAGTTTGGCCCTGGAAGTAGAATCATTATAACAACTAGAGATAGGAGTCTACTTAAGAAAATTGTTCATCATGATAAGATTTACAAGTTTGGTCATAAGGACGGATTGATTTCATGGGCACTGAAGATTGGTGTTTCCGTTAGAGATATGGCTGCAGACTTAACCGCGCAGTACGTACCCCAGTGGGCGAGTGACCAACCAGCCCAACCCAGCCACTCTGCTGGCCAATTGTAATCTTCCTCACTTTGTTCACAATTTGATGACATGCATCTCTCATTTACAAATTAACTATATCTCTTCACACCACCTCCATCCTGCAGCCTTAACCGCGCTATAAGCATATAGTATTAAAAACTAAGATCAATTAACCACTTGCAGGCATATAATATCACCAATACCATCAATTATCACAAAAGCAGGAAGTTGCTTCGCAAATATGATGTTAAGCAAGTGGCTTAGTATTATATGAGTGCATATAAATACTAAAATCACAATTATTTAATTGAGTGGTTAAATGGTTTTATATTCAAGCGAATTTTTGTAGGGACGATCTATGAAGCAATATTTAAAAGATAAACGGTTCAGATAATTAAAATGCAATGTAGAGTAGGTTCTATAAGAGTGTCATTCAATTGAAGCTCTTAGTATAATTTTCTATATATAAAGGTAGAAGGCCTTAAAAGTGAAACTTCAAAATCCCCAAAATAACCTTGGTTAATGAAAATATGAAAACAGAAAATATTTTATTACATAATGTTAAATTAGTACATTCACAACATATTTAAATGAAATTTAATAAATAATGAAATAAACAAAAACCCTTATCTGCACTTGCCCATAAAACTATAGGAGACAACCACCTCCAAGACTGTAAAGCATTTTAGATTATATATATATTTTAAAAGTTATACAACTCACACATGTGCCAAGGGGCTATAATTAACAAGAGAACCATCGGTAACCACTATACCAGAACACATATATTACGGCGCACAAAGCATGTCGTGAATTATCATTCATGAAGCGAAACGCACAAGTAGTAAAAGCTCTCGTCGTAAATAGTGTTCCTCAATCACGGCGTGAATGAACGTCGTTATAAAAACTTAAGACGACGTTCCTTGAGAGCCATAATTTTGTTGAAACAATTACGACACGCTTTGCACGCCTTAAAAGAATAATTACGGCGTGTTCTGCGTGCCTTCTTAAATGACTAATTATGGCATAGAATGCATGTCGTAAAAGAGTAATTAATTCTCATTTAAGATGTTCAGTGCACGCTATGTTTAACATTAATTTTTTTTTTAAAATTATTATTTCCCTGCCTGCTCCTGTTTCAAATTTACAATATATTTATATAAAGCATACAAGAATCGTTAAGGGGTAGTTTATTAAATTCGAGGCTAGTATTTTTAATGGGTGCTAGGATTAAAGAAAAGCATACAACCCCAAATTAGAATTTGGGCCGAAATATCTCTCAACAACTAAAGATAGTTACTCTATTTTGACAAAAATTAGAATTTGTCCTTGAAGTGCTTAAATTAAAAACGGCATTTTGCCCTTTTTGTTGTTGTTGGGCTTTTTCCAAAATGATGCATTTTCCCTGCCACGTAGGCACACTTAATGATTCTTTGAACGGAGTTTAAAAAAAAAAAAGGTAACGTTAGACACGGAGCGAGGCATTGGATGATTAAGTGAGAAATTTTGAGTTACATGGGGTAATTTGAGAGCGAGCAAAGAGTTCAAGGGGTAAAACATGAATTAAGCCTGAAATAAAACCCTTAAACGCTGGCTAACTTGAATTCGAACCATTGACCCTAAGAAAATTATGCATAGTGGTGATATGGTTTCCAACAAAGACAACACATCTTTTTCAGAGTTTTGCTAAATATTATTATAAATATGGGAGCTGATTTTCCCACTCTTCTTTTGTCCACTTAAACTCCTTTTATTGAGAAATTGTCCCATTCTTCTTTTATCTACTTACACTCACTTGTTGGAAATTGCATGTTAGTGGGAAAATCAGCAATCATAAATATTAATTTAAAATGACTAAAGAATTGCACAGCATACAGTTGAATTTTATCTTAGTTGACTTTCATTACACAAAAGCCTCAAACTTCTGATTTTTTATTTTGGGTTGTTGGGCTTTGTCCAATGAGAGTTCTATATTGACCCAAAAACAATGGCGTGCATCCATGTCCTCGATTTTATGCCCTTGTTTTTTTCCTATAGCAGAGAATGGTTGGGTAATTTCCTGCAACTGCAACTGCAACAATCTATTGCTTCCTAATAAGAAAGAAAGGCAACCTCTCTGCAACGGCTTTCTTGGCGATCCTTCTCTCTTGCTTAGGACAATCCTGAGGTGCAACGTCTTCTTAATTTATACTTCTTTCTTGATCTGGAGCCTGAAGGTAATCCCCTGACTTACCCTTCGAGACTGCCTCTACCTATTATATTTTGTACTAATATCTTGGATATGTCAGATCTATATCTAAGATATTCGTACAACAGAGTGTTGTACAAAGATCTTCAATTTTGTGGACATTTTTTTTCCTTATTTTGTTAAATTTAATGTTAATGTCGTTGTTATTGTTGTAATTTGGATTAAGCACACAAACAATAATAAAGGAGAAGAAAATGGAGCAAAAACAGAGGAATCATTTGTGTACTCCCTGAGACTTTCAGTCTCACCTTTGCACGTTTCTGCACTTAGACTTTATTGTTCTCTTACACAAAACACTACCACAAATCTCTCTCACCAACTCCACTAATATATCCTAAACATAAAATTCTACAATTAAGTATTAACTTCAACAGTTATATATATGAGTTTCTGTCAAAAAGAGCTCAGACTAATTCTTGTCTGTGAAAAAGGGCTCGAGCCTTTCATGTCAGAAACTGTTTTTGTTGTATTATGTTTGTAAGGACTTTAAGAACCCACTTTGCGTCTTATTTTTGTATGGCTGGGTAGGTTTATTGGCTGGTTGATATTATCAGCCATTCCTCTTAGTTGATTAAGAGTGAAAAGTGTGAAAAACCAACTCCTTTATATGTACTCTTATCAAGATAGGAGAAACAAGTCCAGTCCCAGAAGCAGGAGCCGAACTTTGAGTTCATCCTCTCTGTCTTTGTTATCCTTTTCGCTTATGTTTACATATTAATCTCTTAGTGTTGTTCATTTGCATGTGTCATGAATATGCATTGATTTTCTGGTTAAGAATATGGTGAAGTTTTTAGTTGACTTGAAGTGGGTATGCAGGTTATCAATATGGCTGCTTCTTCCTCTGCTGCTGCCATCCCCACTCAGGAAAAGTATGATGTGTTTCTTAGTTTCAGAGGTGAGGACACCCGCTATACTTTTACCAGTCATCTTTATGCTGCTTTATGCGCGAAGAAGATCAAAACCTACATAGACGACATACTTGAGAGAGGAGAGGAAATTGCACCTTCCCTTCTCGAAGCAATTGAAAAATCAAAGCTTTCGGTAATCATTTTCTCGAAAAACTATGCTTCTTCCACTTGGTGCTTGGATGAACTTGTGCATATATTGCGATGCAAGGAAAGAGGTGAGCACTTTGTTCTACCAATTTTTTACTGCATCGACCCATCACATGTACGAAATCAACAGGGAAGTTATGCTTATGCATTTACTCAACTTGAAACACGTTTCAAGGACAGCACGGAGGGAGTTATGAAGGTGCGCAACTGGAGAGATGCTTTGAAAAATGCAGCCAATATGGCTGGGTTTGATAATTCAAACAAAACAGGGTAACTAATTCTGCAACTTGTACCAATTTCTACTTGTGACCATTTAATTTGAACAAGAATCGTTAGGGTACACTTACTCTTACTAAACATAGTTTGTCCTTATAATCATATTTTCCAGGACAGAGGCCAATTTCGTTGAGAAAGTTGTCGAAGATATTTTGACCAAATTGAATCGGAAATCGTCACCTGATTTAAAGGGACTAGTTGGAATTAAAAGGAAAATTGAGCAAATAGAAAGGTTATTATGCAGTGATTCGCCAAATGTTTGCACCATTGGTATTTGGGGCATGGGTGGTATTGGCAAGACCACTCTTGCTGATGTTGTGTATCACCGACTTTCTTCTAAATTTGAAGCTTCTTGCTTCCTTGCAAATGTTAGGGAGGAGTCAGAAAAAAATGGACTAAAGCACTTGCGAAATGTCCTTCTTCGTGAGATATTAAATGAAAAAGATCTAACCATCGGCACTCCATCTATAGGATCAACTTATGTTCGAGAAAGGCTCAGCAATACAAAGGTCCTCATTGTTCTAGATGATGTGAGTGCTTCAACCCAATTAGAATTTCTAGTTGGTGATCATTTTCAGTTTGGCTCTGGGAGTCGAATAATTATAACGACAAGGGACAGGCGCCTACTTAAGAAAAAGGTTGATGATGATAAGATATACAAGGTTGAGGGATTATCTTATGATGAAGCTCGTGAGCTATTTCATTTACATGCTTTAAAAAATAACTCGACTGAAATATGTTATACAGAGTTGGTGATAGATTATGCAGGAGGCATGCCATTAGCTCTTAAGATTTTGGGTTCCTTATTCCTTCACTGTGACAACAATCATGAATGGGAAGATGAATTGAATAACTTGAAAAAATTTCCCAACCAAGAAATTGAGAACATGTTGAGACTAAGTTATGATGGATTAGAAAAAAATGCGAAGGAGATATTTCTTGATATAGCATGTTTCTATAAGGGGATGAAAATAGATTTTGCAAAAGAAATGTTACATATTCGTGGTTTATTTGCGGGTGGAATTAAGGTTCTTATTGAGAAATCTCTAGTATCAATATCAAGATGGAACTGCCTAGAGATGCATGATTTGGTACAGGAAATGGGCAGGATAATAGTTTACGAACAATGTATTGAAGAGCCTGGAAGACGCAGTAGATTGTTCATCGCTCATGATATCTATCGTATATTGAGAAATAATACAGTAAGAACCAAATACATTCACTTTCTCTAAACAATAAAAATAAAAATTTCACGAATTTTTCTATGAACTACTTGGGAAAACACTCATTTATACAATAAACAAGTCAGATACATACAAATGTAATTTTGATTAGACTTTGTTGTATATTGCATCATATTTATATTTTGCTTTTGATTGTCAGGGGACTGAAACGGTTCAAGCCATATTCTTTAACAGCTCTAAGAGTGGACAACTACGCTTGGATCATGCAGATTTCAAAAAGATGTATAATCTAAGATTACTCAATGTTGATTCTAGCTTTGGAAAGTACTGCAAATTAAAAGTTTCTCTTCCCAATTCTCTTGGTTATCTTTGCTGGGAGGAATATCCTTTGAAGTCTTTGCCATCAAAATTTTCTCCAGAAAATCTTGTTGAGCTTCGAATGTGTGGAAGCAAAGTTGAGCAACTTTGGAATAAAGACCAGGTATATATGCTTATTTTTCTTATTGTTTAAAATTTAGTGCGAAAACTTATTCTGGCTAGCTCATTAATTAAGTCTTGTCATTTGTCTTTAATTTGTTACAGAATCTTGAGAATTTAAAAGTGATGGATCTTCGTTCCTCCACTCATCTTATTAAAGTCCCAGATCTCTCTCAAAGTCGAAAAATGGTGCATATAAATCTTTTTGGTTGTACAAGTTTGGTTCAAATCCCATCCTATTTTCAATGTCTTGACAAGCTTACTCATCTTGACCTGGGAGATTGCTTGAATCTCAAATATCTTCCGCAGATGCCAGGCAACATTGAATTTTTAAATTTGTCTAAAACTGCAATAGAGGAATTGCCTTCATCAGTTTGGTCACACAAAAAAATTTCATACTTGGATATTCGATTTTGTAAAGACCTTAGGAATCTTCCAAGCAACAGTTGTAACCTGAAACTAACCTCTGGTTTTAGTCTAGAGGGCTGCGCATCTATTCGCAATTTTTCGGAACTTCCAAGAGATCTAAGAGTATTAGTGATGGTGGGGACAAAAATAGAAGTATTGCCCTCATCAGAGTATCTCTATCATCTCAATACAATTCGACTACTTGATTGCAAAAGGCTTGTAAGTCTCCCGCCAAGCATTTCAAAGTTGAAATCTCTATATGAACTTGATCTTACTGGTTGCTCTGAATTTGAAGATTTCCCGGAAATCTGGGAGCCTGGGGGACATCTAAAGATTCTTTTGTTAAACGGAACAGCTGTTAAAGAACTACCCTCATCAATCGAATGTCTTTTTGGTCTCACAAGAATTGGACTTAAAAATTGCAAAAGGCTTGTGAGTCTCCCGCCAAGCATTTTAAAGTTGAAGTCTCTTTATGAACTTGATCTTACAGGTTGCTATGAATTTGAAGACTTCCCTGAAATATGGGAGCCTATGGGACATCTAAAGGTTCTTTTGTTAAACGGAACAGCTGTTATAGAACTACCCTCATCAATCGAATGTCTTTTTGGTCTTACAAGAATTGGACTTGGAAATTGCAGAAGACTTGTGAGTCTTCCGACAAGCATTTTAAAGTTGAAGTCACTTTATGGACTTGATCTTACAGGTTGCTCTGAATTTGAAGACTTCCTTGAAATCTGGGAGCCTATGGGACATCTAAAGTTTCTTTTGTTAAACGGAACAGCTGTTAAAGAACTACCCAGATCAATCGAATGTCTTTTTGGTCTCACAAGAATTGGACTGGAAAATTGCAGAAGACTTGTGAGTCTCCCGCCAAGCATTTTAAAGTTAAAGTCACTTTATGGACTTGATCTTACAGGTTGCTCTGAATTTGAAGACTTCCCTGAAATCTGGGAGCCTATGGGACATCTAAAGTTGCTTTTGTTAAACGGAACAGCTGTTAAAGAACTACCCACATCAATCAAATGTCTTTTTGGTCTCACAAGAATTGGACTGGAAAATTGCAGAAGACTTGTGAGTCTCCCGCCAAGCATTTTAAATTTGAAGTCACTTTATGGACTTGATCTTACAGGTTGCTCTGAATTTGAAGACTTCCCGGAAATCTGGGGGCCTATGGGACATCTAAAGTTTCTTTTGTTAAACGGAACATCTATTAAAGAACTACCATCATCTTTAATTTTATATGCTTCAGTTGGGTGGTTGTCGTTGATTTTAGGCCTTTTCATTTTAGGAGATTTCTAGGCATCACTGTCTTGGATTTTATGGCCCTTTAATTGCTCTTGCAAAGTAAAATGAGAACTGACAATTGGTGATATGCCTCTTTTGCATAAAATCAGCCTGTTTCGTAGCATTTAGGTCCCAATCCTAAGTCCTACTACGAGGCCTGAACGGGGTCCTTGAAACTACTTTCAGAATTTCAAATGCGCTTTTGATTTCAAGTCCAAAATTTCTGGATTCCTATATGCCAATTCAATTCCGAAGTTTCAGATTTTTGTGAAATTCAGGATTTTTAGTTTTGCAGAAGTGTTTTGGAATTTTCAGATACTTTTGAAAGTAGATACGTTGAACTTTTCCTCTCCTTCATTTGCTTTGCCTTGGGAAAAAATTAAGAATGAGAGAGCACCTTCACTTGCCTTGCCTTCAACTTTTCTTGCATTGTATAGACGTTTATTTACTTTCTTCTTTTGATTATTAGATGAAGGCCAAGTCACATAAGAAAGCTGAAGCCAAGGCTAAACATTGACGGGCTGAAATGGTTGCAGCAGGGCAACTCATTATAATTTCTTGCCAGAAGAACGTTTATTTTATGTTTTAGTTAGTACTATTACATTGACCAACTCCTTCCTACCCTTTAGAGCTATTCCACCAGTTGCCCTTAGCCATGGCAAGGAGCTATTCCACCACTCCTTCCTACCCGTTAGTACTATTACATTGACCAACTCCTTCCTGCATTTTAAAGTTGAAGTCTCTTTATGAACTTGATCTTACAGGTTGCTCTGAATTTGAAGACTTCCCTGAAATATGGGAGCCTATGGGACATCTAAAGTTTCTTTTGTTAAACGGAACAGCTGTTAAAGAACTACCCTCATCAATCGAATGTCTTTTTGGTCTCACAAGAATTGGACTGAAAAATTGCAAAAGGCTTGTGAGTCTCCCGCCAAGCATTCTAAAGTTGAAGTGTCTTTATGAACTTGATCTTACAGGTTGCTCTAAATTTGAAGATTTCCCTGAAATCTGGGAGCCTATGGGACATCTAAAGGTTCTTTTGTTAAATGGAACAGCTGTTAAAGAACTACCCTCATCAATCGAATGTCTTTTTGGTGTCACAAGAATTGGACTGAAAAATTGCAAAAGGCTTGTGAGTCTCCCGCCAAGCATTTTAAAGTTGAAGTCTCTTTATGAACTTGATCTTACAGGTTGCTCTAGAATTGAAGACTTCCCTGAAATCTTGGAGCCTATGGGACATCTAAAGGTTCTTTTGTTAAACGGAACAGCTGTTAAAGAACTACCCACATCAATCGAATGTCTTTTCGGTGTCACAAGAATTGGACTGAAAAATTGCAAAAGGCTTGTGAGTCTCCCGCCAAGCATTTTAAAGTTGAAGTCTCTTTATGAACTTGATCTTACAGGTTGCTCTGAAATTGATGACTTCCCTGAAATCTTGGAGCCTATGGGACATCTAAAGGTTCTTTTGTTAAATGGAACAGCTGTTAAAGAATTACCCACATCAATCGAATGTCTTTTTGGTCTCACAAGTATTAGACTGAAAAATTGCACAAGGCTTGTGAGTCTCCCACCAGGCATTTTAAAGTTGAAGTCTCTTTATGAACTTGATCTTACAGGTTGCTCTGAATTTGAAGACTTCCCTGAAATCCTGGAGCCTATGGGACATCTAAAGATTCTTTTGTTAAACGGAACTGCTGTTAAAGAACTACCCTCATCAATCGAATGTCTTTTTGGTCTCGCATCAATTGGATTGGAAAATTGCAGAAGACTTGTGAGTCTCCCGCCAAGCATTTTAAAGTTGAAGTCACTTTATGGACTTGATCTTACAAGTTGCTCTGAATTTGAAGACTTCCCTGAAATATGGGAGCCTATGGGACATCTAAAGTTTCTTTTGTTAAACGGAATAGCTGTTAAAGAACTACCCACATCAATCGAATGTCTTTTTGGTCTCACAAGAATTGGACTGAAAAATTGTAGAAGGCTTGTGAATCTCCCGCCAAGCATTTTAGAGTTGAAGTCACTTTATGGACTTGATCTTACAAGTTGCTCTGAATTTGAAGACTTCCCTGAAATCTGGGAGCCTATGGGACATCTAAAGTTTCTTTTGTTAAACGGAACAGATGTTAAAAAACTACCCTCATCAATCGAATGTCTTTTCGATCTCACAATAATTGGATTGAAAAATTGCAAAAGGCTTGTGAGTCTCCCGCCAAGCATTTTAAAGCTGAAGGCACTTTATGGACTTGATCTTACGGGTTGCTCTGAATTTGAAGACTTCCCTGAAATCTGGGAGCCTATGGGACATCTAAAGTTTCTTTTGTTAAACGGAACAGCTATTAAAGAACTACCTTCATCAATCGAATGTCTTTTTGGTCTCACAAGAATTGGACTGAAAAATTGCAAAAGGCTTGTGAGTCTCCCGCCAAGCATTTTAAAGTTGAAGTCTCTTTATGAACTTGATCTTACTGGTTGCTCTGAAATTGAAGACTTCCCTGAAATCTTGGAGCCTATGGGACATCTAAAGGTTCTTTTGTGAAACGGAACAGCTGTTAAAGAACTACCCACATCAATCGATTGTCTTTTTGCTCTCACAAGAGTTGGACTGAAAAATTGCAAAAGGCTTGTGAGTCTTGTTCGGTTCATTTTTACACATGATTTATCATGTTATTCACTCATTATTTTGAGTTAGTTCTTAACATTTTATAGCTTTTTACTTCATTTTTGTGTTTTATTAGGTTTTACCTTAGTTAGAATGAAAATGAGCTAAAAGTGCATTATTGGTTATAAATTCTGTTTTTTGTTCATTTTCGTAGGTCAAATTCTTGGCCTTGGATCAACATGCTCCGATGCTTGGATGAGGTGATGATCTTCATGAAACTTGTTCCAATGGATGTTGACTATAACATATCCGAAGTTGAGCTCCATTGGATAAGTGTAGCCTATCCAACTGATCCAACAATTGATGCTGGCTCTGGAAATCTGTTTTGGGCCAGTTTTAATTTCACTTGGTGTTACCTCATTTCTACTTGTTACCATACCATTTGGTAACAATGAATTACTTTGCTTGAGTGGGATTTTCTGAGACAAAGAGCATATATTGAAAAACAAAACTTCGTCATGAGGAGGAGACAAGGGGACAAAGACTTTACCAAAAGTTGAAAAAGGATGAGAGAGAGGAGCATAGAGAAGGCATCTTCATGAATTCATTTGGGCAGATTGTCTTGGGTTGGAACGTATTATTCACAATTGGCAGAGTAAGGAGAGCAGGTTTTTGGAGCTAGAAGAGGAAGAAGGGAGGAGAAGGGAGGAGACTTCCACCATTGAAGACTTCAAGCTTACATCACTTCCAAAACCTGTAAACTCTTTCTAGTTTTGTTTTGAATTTGTAGTTAAATTAAATATGAGCAACTAAACTCCATAGCTAGGGCTTAGGTTGAAGACCTAAACATGATTACTCTATTGTTTTGATGCTTAAGTGTATGAATTTCTAGATTTTGTTGATGAATTTCAATTCACTATTTTAATCTATCCTTGATGTATGGTTTTCCTGGTTGGCCATCTTTGAAAGCATGCTTCTTGAGGTTGTTGGGATTGTGTGTATCTTCATATTTTCCTAAGCAACAAATGGATGAAGTAAGAACCATCCATGTGAATTGGTTTCTTGAATGCCTAATGTAAACACCATGCTATTAGGATTCTTGTGATGTTCATATTCTCTTTGAACGAAGAAGGGAGGAGAAGGGAGGAGACTTCCACCATTGAAGACTTCAAGCTTTCATCACTTCCAAAACCTGTAAACTCTTTCTAGTTTTGTTTTGAATTTGTAGTTAAATTAAATATGAGCAACTAAACTCCATAGCTAGGGCTTAGGTTGAAGACCTAAACATGATTACTCTATTGTTTTGATGCTTAAGTGTATGAATTTCTAGATTTTGTTGATGAATTTCAATTCACTATTTTAATCTATCCTTGATGTATGTTTTTCCTTGGTTGGCCATCTTTGAAAGCATGCTTCTTGAGGTTGTTGGGATTGTGTGTATCTTCATATTTTCCTAAGCAACAAATGGATGAAGTAAGAACCATCCATGTGAATTGGTTTCTTGAATGCCTAATGTAAACACCATGCTATTAGGATTCTTGTGATGTTCATATTCTCTTTGAACTTAATGGGTTTTCCTTGTAATTGAATCGAAGTACTAAACACACCTAGGTTCGGTTATGGGGAGGGCACGAGTATTGTAGCACTAACTGACAGGACCCGCCCCGAATTCCTCGGAACCCGAGACGAATCCTGTGGAATTCATGACATCACAACGATGCCGGGTCCACTTACTAAGAACCGAGACTGTCTGCCGAAATTTCGGCATAGTCTCCCATGTAAATTGGACTTTCCCCAAATTTCAACCTGTTAAAAAAAATTCACAATTTAATCCCAACTGGCAGCATGCACAAGTTATCAACATGCAAACACATAATAGGCCTCCGGCCTTCAGATAATTCGAAACAAAACCAACAATGCTCCTAAGTCAAACAATACATAAACCATGCAGTTAATGATCTCAAACAACTTTACAAATACCACCGAAAACCTCAAACCGGATTCCAATCCAATAAATCACAACAGCATCCAATCACATACTTAGAATTGATCAAACCTTTAAAACATACTATAATTTGCGGCTGCACCTAGGTGAGACCCCAGGCTGCCTACGTACCCTTGGACAAGGGATCAAGCCACACGTAGTTCTCGTCATCAATGGCCACAACTCCGATAATATACCATTATTCAAAGCAGAACCAACAAATACATTTCAGATTTATCACCATTCAAATTCTAACAAAACACAATGAACACACTCTTAAACTCTTCCCTTTATGTCAATTCTTTCCACGTAACCATATCTTATCCAAGGCGTATGTTGCCGAACAACACTTCCCAATCCAGGGCTTAAACATTCGTACATGTACAAACTCACAAATCTCAAGCCAGAATCAAAACCACATATACATATATGTAATATAATAACACCCACCTCTCACCATCATCATGTACTGGGGGAAACAATCCAACCAGGAATTGTTGACTAGCTCACACTTATCCGGCCCTCAAACGTCCATGTGGCTAGGGATGAGTCGTCTAATTTGGGGACTGATACTCTAACCAGCCCGTACGGATGAAGAATCAAGACCCATACGTCTGAAAACTGTCCTACGCGCGCAGACTACCCAATCAAGGGTTTACAGCAACACCCCGCTAGGGCATGCCCCAACAATGCTCCTAAGTCAAACAATACATAAACCATGCAGTTAATGATCTCAAACAACTTTACAAATACCACCGAAAACCTCAAACCGGATTCCAATCCAATAAATCACAACAGCATCCAATCACATACTTAGAATCGATCAAACCTTTAAAACATACTATAATTTGCGGCTGCACCTAGGTGAGACCCCAGGCTGCCTACGTACCCTTGGACAAGGGATCAACCACACGTAGTTCTCGTCATCAATGGCCACAACTCCGATAATATACCATTATTCAAAGCAGAACCAACAAATACATTTCAGATTTATCACCATTCAAATTCTAACAAAACACAATGAACACACTCTTAAACTCTTCCCTTTATGTCAATTCTTTCCACGTAACCATATCTTATCCAAGGCGTATGTTGCCGAACAACACTTCCCAATCCAGGGCTTAAACATTCGTACATGTACAAACTCACAAATCTCAAGCCAGAATCAAAACCACATATACATATATGTAATATAATAACACCCACCTCTCACCATCATCATGTACTGGGGGAAACAATCCAACCAGGAATTGTTGACTAGCTCACACTTATCCGGCCCTCAAACGTCCATGTGGCTAGGGATGAGTCGTCCAACTGGGGGACTGATACTCTAACCAGCCCGTACGGACGAAGAATCAAGACCCGTATGTCTGAAAACTGTCCTACGCGCGCAGACTACCCAATCAAGGGTCTACAGCAACACCTCGCTAGGGCATGCTGTGGCTAGGGATGAGTTGTCCAACTGGGGGACTGACACTCTAACCAGCCCGTACGGACGAAGAATCAAGACCCGTACGTCTGAAAACCGTCCTATGCGCACAGACTACCCAATCAAGGGTCTACAGCGACACCCCGTTAAGGTATGCCCCGGGTTCCATCATATCCAGACCATGTCCACAATTTTTCCAGCATCCTACAATTCCAGGATCCGTGACCAATAAAGCCCACACGCCCGAAACCCGGCACGTGTGTGAATAGTATATCCATTTCCATGTATCCCAGTGTCTATATCCATTGTTTCCAAATATCATCATCCAAGGGGGGAGGTACATATGATGGTGGAGTTCGTAATCCTTATATAAATATTATAACATAGGCGGCAACATGGTTTGATGTCTTGGACCATGCCAAGGGAAGGTGTCTTGAGTGGGCATAAGGACAAGACGAGCGTGGCAAGATGGATGTTGAAGGGTGTCGACGGAAGCTTGCGAGAAGCATCGAAAAATTGCCTTGGAAGCCTCGACAGCGCATGTGGGACAAGTGCGCAGCGCACATTGGCAGCACAAGTAGCGCCGTACAGCACAGCAACATGCAGGCGGCATGCAGGCAGCGCGCAGGCAGCATGCAGACAGCGCACGTAGGCAGCACACAGGCAGATCATGGGCAGATCGTGTGGGCAGTTGTCTGGCAGGTGGTGCGCAGAGTGCTGGCAGATCGTGCTAGCAGGTGGCTGGCAGATCGTGCTAGCAGGTGGCTGGCAGATCGTGCTAGCAGGTGGCTGGCAGATTGTGTGACGGTTGCTGGCAGATTGTGTGGGCAGTTACATGGGCAGTTGTGAGGAGTATTTCCAGCAGATGTGCAGCGAGATTAAAGGGCATGTCTGGGCGGTCATGCGGAGTGGCACGCATGGGGATGCATCATGTGGAGAAGGCAATGTCAGTGGAAGGAGTGGGCGGTTACCTTGCACCTTTGTAGGCATACAACATGGCATGATAACATGTCATGGCCTTGACATTGACACATGGCGCCACAAGCAAAAAGGAAGCCTTGAAAGTAGGAGTTCATGGGTTCCTTAGTGGGATAGTGGCATGGCGGTTTTTAGGAGGAAAACTACCTGTCATGATAGTCTATAAATATGTCTTTGTGTAGGCATTGTAGACAAGTGGTACAACTGGTACAACTAGTGAAAACTAGAGATACTAGGTGGGGACTCTTAGGAGGTAGAGTCTCTTGGGAGATCACTGGAGACTAGTCAAAGGGAGACTAGTCTGGGCAACAAAATGGGGGAGTGTGTCTAGAGTAGGCATAGAGAGACATAGAGAGGGGTAAGGCAGCAAGTGTTGTGTTGACCTACCCATGTCTCGAGTGAAACCCATTGAGTTGTGAATGAGTGTCTAGAGAGGCACCGTGCCTTAGGGTGGGCGGCATTGAGGCACCAAATGTGTTGTGGTGACCCAATGCGAAACAAAAGCTTGTATTCCTTTTTATTGTGGAGTAATATAAAGGTTGGGAGTGAGTTGTCCCGTAAGCTTTGGTGTTTATGTGTTCCGCTGCGTGTACCCTGAAGCCTCGCAAGTTTAGAGGTGAAGAGAAGGCTGACTTAGGAGGAGTCTAAGTGC